CCTTGCACCCGCCGCGGACTGTGGCATACGCCAGGCGGACCCGATCCACTTAAGACGTCAGTGACTGCCTCCCGGCGCAGTGCCCGCATTGACACCGCTCGCCTGTCCGACTTCCCAGCTCCGTCGATCCCCGAGCGTGCCGAGCTCCGAGCGGCAGCCAGGAACCTCAAGTCAGGTTCGAACGACATCCCTCCCAGTTCTTCCAGTTGTTCTTTCTCCGCACTTGAGGCTATTCCCCTCGGCCACCTCGCTAAGGTGGTCGCTGACTCGGCCATCATCTTCAGGGGGGAGGTTGGTCCCCCCTTAAGAGCAGATTGAGGCAATTCGCGCCCGCGAAATCCTTGATGGCAAACTTGCTGAATCTCGAGTGTGCCTCCTCCGCACCACCACGGAGCCAACCGACGTGGCCAATCCCACAGCTACGGCGCCCCCAACAGTCCCCGAGGAGGAGATCCGTGGTCGCACCCGCTCATGCACTGCTACCCTCCGGGCTCAGAGTGCCTCCCGTGTTTTGGGGTCAAGCAGCCCCCCTATGTCGCCTTGATGCGGATCCTCTTTTGCAACATCCGCGGCTTTGGCCATGATGGCCGGCGCCGCCAATTAATCGAATACATGCGAGACGAACACATCGACATTATAGCCATCCATGAAACCATGCATACGGAGTTCTCCCTGCACGAGCTCGACGGCCTTAGTCCCCACCTGTTTGCCTGGCATTGGCTCCCTTTTGGGACCATCGGCCATTCAGGTGGCATCCTTTTAGGCGTGAAGGATGCCACCTTCGAGGTGGGGGACGTGGATAGAGGTGAATTCTATGTTAGTATGGCGGTCTTCGAACGGGCTCTCAACTTCAAATGGGAGGTCATGATTGTTTACGGGCTGGCCGATCATCGTCGCTCGTTGGCCTTCCTAGACGAACTTCGGAGGAAGGTCTCTGTCACCCTACTGCCAGCGGTGGTCGGTGGAGACTTTAACCTCATCAGATCTCCCGGAGAGAAGAACAACAACCTACTCAACCTCCCCCGCATGCACAAGTTCAATGACTACATCACGGACCTTGGCCTCCGCGAGCTAGATAGGACAGGTGCCAGGTTTTTTAGGCGTGAAGGATGCCACCTTCGAGGTGGGGGACATGGATAGGGTGAATTCTATGTTAGTATGGAGGTCTTCGAACGGGCTCTCAACTTCAAATGGGAGGTCGTGATTGTTTACGGGCTGGCCGATCACCGTCGCTCGTCGGCCTTCCTAGACAAACTTCAGAGGAAGGTCTCTGTCACCCTACTGCCAGTGGTGGTCGGTGGAGACTTTAATCTCATCAGATCTCCCGGGGAGAAGAACAACGACCTACTCAACCTCCCCCGCGAGCTAGATAGGACGGGTGTCAGGTTTAACTGGACAAACCGTCAAGCCGGCCCGACTCGCTCCGTTCTAGATCGCGTCCTTGTCTCCCGGGAGTGGGAGCTCCGATGCCCTCTTGCCTCGCTTCGCGCGATTACCCGGATTGGTTCCGACCACATCCCCCTCCTCCTATCCTCCCCGGACGATCGGCCTCCCACCCCTCCCCGGTTCCGCTTTGAGCTATTTTGGCTCAACCAGGGGGGGTGTGTGGAGGCGGTCGGCTCTCAATGGGCCGCTGCCCGGACAACTCCCCAGCGCTCCCTCTCCGCGGTGGACTCATGGCAGCTTTGCGCCAAGCTTGTCGGCCAGTTAATGAAAGGATGGGTGCGACCCTGGACCGGGACCTCCGCAATCACAAGAAGGCCCTCCTGTCGGCTATTCAAGCCCTCAACACCCACGTCGACACTTCCGGGATTTCCCCTATGAGTGGATGCTGAGATATGATCTTGAGGACCAGCTCTCGGTTATCTACACCGATGAAGAAGCGTACTGTCGGCTTTGCAGCACCCAACGGTGGGTCCTCCGCGGAGATGCCAACACGGCTTACTTCCAGGCGATCGCCAATGGGCAGAGACGCCGTAACTCCATCCATTGCCTCTGGGACGGTGACACCCCTCTCCACCGTCATTCGGATATACGTGCTCACGTTGACGGCTTTTATAAAGCCTTATTCTCCCCCCCCCCTCCTCCTAGGGGTGGGACCTCCCTGGCCCCCGACACTTGGTCTGGCCGCCAGCTAGTTTCGACCGAGGCGAATGCCGCCTTTAGACTTCGTTCTCTGAGGAGGAGGTCTTCTTGGCTATCAAAGGCATGAGTCCTTCCTCAGCTGTATGGTCTCCCAGTGAAGTTTTTTAGAACATTCTGGCAGACCATTAAGCCCGGGGTCATGGCCCTCTTTGACAAATTCTATGTTGCATGGATTGCCTGAACTACGGGATCATCACGCTCATCCCCAAAGTTTCGGGCGCTTCGGACATCCGCCAGTTCCGCCCTATCGCCGTTATCAATGTGATATTTCGGATTCTGGCAAAGGGGTATGCCAATAGGGTGGCCCTGCTCGCGGATGCCATTACCCACCCCAATCAATCCGCCTTCATCAAAGAGCGGTTTATTTTAGATGGGGTGTTGGTCTTTCATGAGGTGCTACATGAAGTCCGCTCCGAGCGCTTACGGGCGGTCTTCCTGAAGCTTGACTTCCACAAAGCCTACGACACTGTCCTGTGGCCCTTCCTTCGGGAAGTTTTGCTTCGCAAGGGCTTCGATGACCGTTGGGTGAACAGGGTTATGCAACTGGTTTCCCGCGGCCGGACCGCGATTAACATCAACGGCGAGATTGGACCCTACTTCCCCACCCTTTGTGGGGTCCGCAAAGGCGATCCGTTCTCCCCGTTTTTGTTCAACATGGTGGTCGATGCCCTAGCCTCCATCCTTGATAAGGCCAAATCGGCAGGCCATATCCAGGGCGTAGTCCCTCATCTTGTGGGAGGGGGAGGGGTCTCCCTCCTGCAATACGCAGATGACACCATCATAATGGTTGAGGGTTCTGCCTCCGATATCACCAACCTGAAGTTCCTCCTCCTCTGCTTCCAACAAATGTCGGGCCTCACGATCAACTTCGATAAGAGCGAACTAATGATTCTTGGTTTACTCTCCTGCGGAGGCCCAGGCCTTGGCAGACCGACTGAATTGTAGGCTGGGTTCCTTCCCCACCACCTACCTGGGGATCCCCATCAGTGACTCTAGACTGACCGTTGCTAACCTTCGCCCGGCGGTAACTAGGATGCAGCACAGGGTGGAACCGTGGAGGGGCAGGTGGCTATCTAAAGCAGCCCGAACGATCCTCATTAACTCCTCGCTGCCCGGCCTCTTGTGGTTCCTCGTGAGCTCCTATAGCTTACATGAGATGCTACACCAGGAGATTGCCAAATACCAGTCCAGGTTCTTTTGGGCTAGCGAGGGGGAGTAGCAAAAATACCATATGGTCAGCCGGCCGGACATCTGCAAACCCAAGGACCAGGGTGGCCTCGGGATCTTGTCCTCCAGGCGCATGAATATCACTCTCCTGACACGTTGGCTTTGGAGGATTGCCAATGGGGAAGGACTCTGGCTGACCATCATTAGAAATAAATACCTCTGCGGTCAGCCTCTCACCTTTTGCCAGCGCACCTATGGCTTCCAGTTCTGGCAGGCGGTTATCCAGCTCATGCCTATCCTCCGGATTGGTACCTCCATCTCGATGGGCTCTGGTTCCTCGACGTTGTTCTGGTTCGACCGGTGGGTGGGGGACTCCCCCCTCGCCGCCCGTTTCCCGGAATTATTCTCCATCGCGGTTGACCCTCGGTTCTCCGTCGAGGCGGCCCTTATTGACTTAGGGCGCCTCACACTCTGTCGCCCCTTTGGTCCCCCGGAGGTTGCTACGTGAGATGCCATCCTCCAGTCCATTGCTCTTCAGCCTTTGGACGTGGACAACACGCTCGACTCCATGTCCTGGCGCTTGGAGTCCTCTGGTCAATTGTCGACCAAGTCCATATATCCAACCATTGCACCTTCCTCTGCCCCTGAGCCGTTTAACCTTATTTGGGACATTTGCTTACCGTTGAAGATCCGAATCTAAATGTGGCAGTAGATTTGTGGTCGTCTCCCCTCTGGGGTTGAGGTTTCGAAACACAACGGCCCTGGAGATGGGATGTCTCCCCTCACATCTTCTCCTATGTTACGGCTCAGTTCCTGTGGACCTGCTTCCGCAATGTGGTCGGTGGTCGTTGGTGTAACACCAACTTCCCGGACTTATAAATGGAAATCCAGGCCTCCGCCCCCCGCCACATTTGGTGGATGTGCGTTGGGGTGCTTGCCTGGACGCGTTGGACTATCCGCAATAAGCTTGTCATTCAACGGGCTCCTCTTCGACGTGCGACTGACGTGATCTTCAAATTGTGTGGTTACTTGCAACTTTGGCGGCCGCTTAGCCGCCTCCAGGATCGGGACGCCATCGACACCCTCATCACCGACCTTCGCGCGATGGCCTTCCAAGTGGCACCTCCTCTTCCACCCCCACCCCCGGAGCCAGACTAGGCACATGGCCTCCTCACGGCGCAGGACCCTTGGACCGCCACTTGGGCTCTTACTTGTTGTGCCTTGTGTTTCTGTTTTCAGGGCTTGTTGAGTTGTGCCCTCAGCATTAACCCTATTACCTTGCTTGTGTGTGTCCTGACATTTGGCGTGCGTGTGGTGTGAACCTTTGTGTGGATGTTGTGGCTCGGGCGGTTTGCTTTATATATAGTGAGGCGAAAGCCTTTTTCGGTAAGAGGGAAGAGCCTCCTCACAGGCCAAAACCTACTGCTCATAAGCATGATCCGCAGTCTCATCAGCAAGCTTAGCAACGTCCTTAGCAACTTGAGGAGCATCCGCAACAAGAGCCTGTGGTGTTGGCGAGTAGGAGCCACAGGAAGAACTGGATGCGGCGGACAGGAGACCTCACCAGAAACTAATGCCACGCATATGAATGTGAAAGAAGGCAACGAACTCGGTGTAGTTAGTACAATCAAAAAATAATCGGGCAACGAGGAATGACAACATAGCCCGATGACATAGGAGTTGTACCTGTTTTTTATATAATCTTTTTTTTAAACACCAAGCAATCGATTCATCCCAAACTAGGAAGCAGCCAGCAGCGACCCAAGCGAGAAGGCCTGGCCCAGCCGAACGAGGCCCGGCCGAGTCAACCTAGCCAAACAAGCAAGCCGAATGAGCAAGGAAGCCCCAAGCGAGATGGCTCCAACGCTATGAAATCAGGGAAGAGGGCGCTGAAATCTAGACGAAGTCGGGCAGATACGGGCATCCAGCAGGTGACGGCGGACGGGTGGGATCTGGCAGGGAGCGACGTACACGGGCAAAATCGGGAGGGATCCAAGCGAAATCCGGCGACGCAGAGTTGAATGGGGCAGCGGCGACCTTCAGTGCGGCGGGATCTAGCATGGGAGAGTTGACTGGGGCGGTGGTGACCTTCCAGGCAACAGGATCCGGCGTGGCAGAGTTGACCGGGGCGGCGGCGACCTTCAGGGCAACGAGATCCGGCGTGGTAGAGTTGACCAGCAGCGACAACCTTCAGGACAGCCAGATCCGGCAGGAAATCAGTGGGGCGCAGCACAATCCATCATTACGAGCAGACAAGAGCATAGGCTGTTGACCAAACATGGCGGTTGCTCAAATGGGATGAGCAAAACGCGAACATGCGGGTAGAGAAAAGTAGAGACGGACGGCGAATAGAAAGCAACGGCGGTGCAAGATTGGATAAGGGAAGCACGAGTTGCGTGTGCTAAAAGAAATACCTAGGCTCCAATACAGTGTTATGGATGCAACTCATCTCTATTGCATGGCCCAAGGGGCAAATATATAGTACGCAAGACTTGGGGTACAAGGAAGGAAACATAGCATGATAAGGACTTCTAGACTAGTACTAATACTCATTAGCAACAACCACCCTGGTTGAGAAAATCCGTCCGCTGTGCTGCCAATTTGTTCCTGATAATATCAATTAACTTCTGGAGGTTGTTCCTTGCACACTTTCTTGAGACTCAACAGGAGACTAAGATACCTGATGAGCAAAGGGCAGATTTTGCAACACACGATGTCACTAATTTCCTTGCCACGATGGGAGATAAAGAACTCTTGCTCATATTACATCGGAGGCCAGAGGCCCTACCAACAAAGGCCCTACCAACAAGGTTTTTGAGTCGCCGAGTCAAGCCAAGTCGCCAAGGCTGCGGCTAGTGGCTTGCTGGCTTGAGTCAGTGACTTGCCTGGGCTAATCGCCCCAAGTCGCCATGGCAGTACAGTGCACTCCCGCACCTGTTTCCCTCCTTTGCATAGCCCATTAATGCCAGATAAGCAAAGTTATCAGGCCGAACAGGCCCAGCACGGCCCAGCTAACCACTCTCGGCCCTCATCCACTCGCTAAACCTAGCGCTACCAGCCCGCACTCCTTCATCTGCGCCTCTCCCCTCGAACTTCTTCCTCTACGCCGCCGGCAAGGAGAGGCGGCGCCTCCTCCCCCGTCTCCTCTCCCTCCGCGCCTCCTCCCCAGCCTCACCCGCCTGCAGCTTCATCTCCTCCTCCCCCGCCTTAGTCTGCGCCGCCGCAGCCTCGCTCGAGGTCACGGCCGTCGCCGCGGAGGTCCAGCCGCCGTCGATCTGAAGGGGGTGCGTCGCTGGCGAGCTGCGGCGGCGGTTCCTAGGTCACGGCCGCGAGCGCCATGGCTTCCTGTCCTCCCGAGCTCCCTCCCTTTCCCTCTCTCTGTCGAGCCAGCAAGTCAATTAATCGACTAATCGCAGCGGTTAATCACAGAAAATCGCTGTTGAGCCAGCGAGTCGTTCGACTCGCTCCGCGAGCCAAGTCGCCTGCGCAAGCCAGTCGCGGCGCGACGACTAGGCGATTAGTCGGCGACTAATCGGCGATTAGTCGGCGGCTCAAAAACCTTGCCTACCAAACATATCAAGAAGGTAATTAACGGCATAAGCCTCGTCCGTACAAGCCTTGATGAGCACAATCACATCATCAACATATAAAGATAGTCTCTCAGGACGCAGTAACCCAGATGATATAGGAGACCCTCCTACTCGGCCTTGTCGAACAAAGCACACAAGTCATCACCAGGACTCGCTCTGGGATAATTCCTTCCAAAACATCTCTTTGATCTTACCGATTGCCTCCTGACAAAGTGGGAGATCTTTGGTTGTTAGGCCGATGCGCTTGGTGACAACGACCTAAGCCCGCTGATCCGCCATGAGCCCGGCCATCTGCTGATTAGCGATATGAGAACTCTTCTGAGAGGGGGTAGCATCGACCAGATATACTCTGCACTTCTTTTTCCTTTGTACGCCAGGCGGGGGCAAGATGGGTTGTTGAGCCTTGCGTAGGGCTCACGTGGAGTAAACGACCAGAGCCTGCACTACCCTAGGATGACTGCCCAACAGAAGCATCGTGGGCATCATCCCCGGATTTGCAGGGCGCTGTCCTGTCCCACAGAACCAGGGCCACAAGGGGCCTCATATTGTGCATTCGAGGTGGACCTCAGGCAATCGTCAATCTGCAAACCTAGGCCCACCAGCAACGACCACCTGGTTAATGACATCTACATGAACGGAGGCATGGGCCTCAGCCTCGCCCATAGCACCACCGAAGGATAGATTATTTAGCAAATCAAATCCTCACTGCGTGGAAGAGACAGGCGGAAGTGTGGTCCCACTAACATGACCTCATTAAGCAAAGCACAGTCACTAGCCAAGGGCTCAGCCAGCGACATGTTCACCTCAGTATACCAATAGCCTAGGATCTTCAAAGCCAGAGACAAAGGTCATGGAATCCGAGGGGGCGGACGGCGCACCATTAACGGTTGAACCGTGAACCGTTAGCAGCAAACTTGTCGTCCCCTCATTATCTGAGAAAGTTGAGCAGAATCACCTTTGACACTGCAGATGACCTGACTAATAGTCCCTCTGGACGAGGGCAGCCTGGCTCCGCCAACTTGAATAACCACTGCCCTAAGTCCAAGAGAATGGAACAGCGGTCAGAGATTACAATGGAGAGACAACTAAGCGACAACAAAGCAAGCGGCGGGGGTGCAGCTCCTCCCAATCCACCATGCAATACACGCGTCAAGCTTTACCAAAGTGGGAGCAGCATGCTCATTGGACCTCGTGTAGCGTCAACCAGTTCTTTGAGCTCACATTCATTTAGGAAGTGATGGAATCTTCCAATCAAGCCAGGGTAGAGGTTATCATCGCTCTTGTCTTGTTGCGGTAGATCATGTCCCAACTGATAACCCAAAGGCCTGGTCGGATGGCTAGCAACTCACATCTCATCAAGCAAAGCGATAATGTCCTCCTCCTGCAGCCCATAGACACAAGTCAACCACCAACAGTCCCCAAACAAGCAGGGATACGTGTGCACGATGGAGCGAGCAACCAGCATGACCAAGGCAATGGCAGGATCGACCTGCGTGCTAGGCATCTCCGACCCCGCAATGGCGTGGATCAGCATGTGGACCTTTATGGTCGCCACAGCATCCCCTGCGGACGTGGCGAGCTTGTAGTACCCCTTTTCCCGCCACTTCCCCTATCCCGCTTCCTTCGGCCTTTTCCCTTTCTGACTGAGGTCGAGTCCACCTGCGAAGGCGGCGACATCTTCCATGATGCCACCTATCTCAAGTAGGACTAGCCTGATCAATCATTGGACGTGCCCGGAGCGAAGGCAGCGCCGCCGCAAGTCGACAACAGCGAATCCAGTCTTCCTAGCATGTACTTGAAGCGCCTCGTGACCAACCAAAGTCTGACCGCGTGCACATCGCCATTGCTAACGCCTCCCAAATCTGCATGCGGCGAACAACGGTAATCAACCATCTGGATAAACAGCGAGGCGACATGGGTCTTGACGTCCAGCGGCATGACGAGCTCAAACAACCCACCAATGTCGTGCCAATGACAGATCATCCGATTGCACCACGTGGAAGTCCTCCCTGGTGATCTAGTTGCGTGCAGACACCAGCCGGTGAGCCAAAAAACTGCCATGTCAGCTCTGTCATACAGTCAGCGACACAGTGGTTAGGGTCCATATAGAGCAGGCACGGTCCATCAAAGGCGGGGTGGCGACCTTCACCCGTCACCGCCGACCTGCGCTTGCTACCACGACGACCACCATCTTAACGCTTGCTCTTGGGCTGCTCCACACCCATGTCTTCATCCTCGTTCGGGTCATCCAACTCATCAAAGCCATTGTCAGAGTCCACCACGTGACCCTCCGAGCGAGGGCCCTAACACGCACACTGAGACTTGGCAACCTCCACCGCCATGGCCTTCCCATTAGTGACGCCGTGCTAGGAGCGCCGCGAATCTTCATCAGACGAGTCCAAGCTGACGCCCCAACGATCCTCACGAACGTGATGCTGTTCAGGGCTACCGCTGGACAAGTGGTCCATGGCTACAGAAAGGGGAGCTCAGAAGTGGGGGTTGGGAAGGGAAGTGATCCTTAGGGCCAAAGTGGCGGTCGGCGGGAGGTGGACATCAGCAACAGAGTGGGAGGGAGGGTAAGGTTTGGTCTCATGCGCTCGCTCTCGCTTTCAGAATGAGTTCTCTTCACTCTCAAGGCCGTAAGGTTTGGCATGAGTGTAAATGATCACTTGCATTATTTCAAAAATAGCACCAAAACATTTTTCTAATGCCAAACGCGTCAGGTGACTCCAGCCATGTATAGTCAACTCAGCTTGTTGCCACTAGCCCAATTAGTACATAAGGTAAAACGTTGCTAGTGGATATCTAATGGCAATACTCTTGGCACATAGGAGCACCGTGTGGCGGCAAATTCGAAAATACATTCCACTCTAAAGTGCAAACCCTTGTATAGTGTATTGGTGTATCACTAACCGCAACAGTGTCATTTAAAAACAAAATAAATCATGAATTCAATGGTTCTCTTTTGAAGGAAAATGATTTCTTGTACTAATTCTTAGAAGAAAATCATTTGTACCTTTTCTAACATAAATGATCGTTTGTACCTGAATAGAACCTCCTTGATCTTGCCAGTGATATGTTGCAAATTATAAACAACCACCGTTTCACATGGCAGTCAATTGGGTGTTCTCAGTGGCATTTCTAAAATTAGTTGCTTCATTGTTGTATGGACCATTTTTGTCTAATTTTAATAGCAATGTCAAGTGTCACAAAGTAAGGAAACACTCAATGTCCTATTACGCTTCCTTAAGGTATCCACAAAGAGCAAAATGGAATACATGTATTGTCAATGCTATACCAAGCAATATACCTATGAAATAATACTTTACTGATGTTTAGTGACGCTCAAAAATAAACTTCAGTGATGTGAGATAAGTTAATATATTTTTTTATAATCAGATAAAACAAAAGCATGCACTTCGTCTTGAATATATTATATCAAGTATGAACTAAAGATGATAGGAATAAAAGAGTGTCATGTGACAGAAAACCCCTTGAGTTAAATCAAATTATACATACCTCAAAGCTTTAGTCCCCATATCCATGAGATATGACCGTGCCTCATCATCATCATCATGTGAACAATCTCGCAATGCCTTCCTGTATTGCAAAATATCCTCCCGCAAATCCCCAGCACCAACACATCTTCATAGGAGAAATCAGTACTTAAAAAAATGCTGAACCATCATAACATGGGCTACATCAACTGCTAACTTAGTAACTTTCCAGGTACTGCACAACTACAATTTAAAAAATTCATATTGAAGCATAGCTTAAGTAAACGCCACATCTTATGCTATAATACCTGTCAATAACTTTGTCAACCTCTTCTTTGCTTTTAGGACCATGTATCAGTGCTCTAGTAAGGTTTAGTATGTCACGGTAGTCTCCCTGCCTGAGGGCTATGTCAGTGAAGGTTTTCACAGATACACTTTTTGTAAGAGAACTTGATACGAAGTGTGTTTCTGCTGTTTGTTCCATGACAAACTTTGCATCTGCACCAAGTCTCAGGCATGTAATGGCCATTGCATAAGCAACACCACCATATCCCGTGTGTGAAATAAAGAGATAGTACCTAGAAGATCTGTAAAGAAGCAATAGTGATTCTTATGTCCCGCAATTGAGCAACAGAAGTCATCAAGTTATATGAATTTTTGGATAAGGGGGCATACTCATTGATTGATGACTGTATTGAATCAACATCAGCAGCTAATGCTTCTCTTTCCCTGGTCAGAGGTATCCTTTTGTAGTCAATACAATACCCCTGATCCCTCAATGTGCTGTACACTTCAGCCGGTGTCATTACGTCCTCCAGATCTATGTGCTCCCAATAACCTAGTACACTGCATTGATTTGTGGCTGTGTTAAATTCTTCTTGATGCAGAAGCAGCCGACCTTCTAGCTGTTTAACTTCAGAAAGTATATCCTCCTTCAGCCTTGCCTCTATGTTCTCTACCTGCATACGATAGAATTTTAAGGGTTGCCAAAATAAAAGGAACAGGCAAATATTGGAGGAGCTACTCACCATTGGGCCACTTATTCCCACATGCTTCAGTGTATCAACAGGTTGATCTAACTCTCTCAAAACAAACGGTGTTCCCTTGATGTAAACTACCACTTCCTCCCTAAGATCCGTGATGACCACCTTCTGAATAATGTCTCTTCCAGTTGCATCCTTACAGCCCAAGTATGACAGAACTTCTCTAGCTCCATCAACAGTTGGCGTTGCCATGCTATACACAGGGTATCCATCCACCTGAGGTTGACATGGTTAAAATTCAGTATTTTTAAAGAATATAAGTAGCCATATATTGTTAAAATGAACTTAGCGAAGAAATAAAGCGTGCTGCTAATGTAAAGAGAGGTCGGGGTAGACCCAACTTGACATGCGAGGAGTCCATAAAGAGTGATCTGAAGGACTAGAATATCACCAAAGAACTAGCCATGGACAAGGGTGCGTGGAAGTTAGCTATCCACATGCCAGAATATTATGGCGCTGCTAGAAGGAGGGCGCAAGAAGGCCGGCTGGGGGCTTTTGCCCACGGCCGGGCAAGATGGAAGGATTTCCTTCTTAATTCTTGCTTGATTAGATTGATACATCTCCTCTCTTTATATAGAGAGGTTTACTTGACTCCCAAGCAAGGCTTACTTGACCCCTAAGAAAGCGACTCTTATCTCTAATTAACCCTAAAACTAACGGGCCCATTAGGCCCATTACGTACTCTAACACTACACCCCACCTGGACATGCAGCTTGTCCTCAAGCTGCAGCCTAACCAACTTATAACCATGACTCGACGCAACCCAAACCTAACACCTAAAAACAAGCCTTTTACATCTCGGCTTGTTTTATTATTCTCAACCTGAAATGGACTGGGACGATTTATTTTGGACCTCTTAACAAAAAGTGGATACCATCCGCACGTCGGACGTGCACGTGTACAGCCACCTGGATCCCATGGACACCATCTGGACAAAATGAGTGCATGTGTATGGCCACCTGGAAGTGGTCGCAAGAGTGACCAGCAGAGGCGCCCTTGCGGCGCCCGGTGACGGAATGCAGTGGTGCTACGTGGTGCGTTGTTGTCGGTGACACCATGCCTTCTTCCTGCCGGACGGCTGTTGGTCTGCACCGCACAGGGAAGAGTGGGGGGCTTGCGATGGAAAATGACGAGGAAGGGTGTGCCCCCCCAACCGCCAATGTCGCAGACTTGGAGGTCGCTGCCCGTGGGGAAAACAGCATGCCTGCTGCTCGTGGGGGAAACCGCATGCCCAAGATCCCCGGCGCAGCGGATGAGATCGAGGTCCTTTGCGCAGCGAAGGGCAACTTGGAGGAGCGGCAACTGCAGACCACGCATCTCCCGCACACGCCAACGCGCTAGGAGGCCGCGCGCAGTAGCCTGCAGCCTCGGGTAGCGATCCAAGACGGAAGCGGCGACGGCGACGGCGGGGACTGGATTTGGTGGAGCGGGACTCCCGCCGGCGCGATCGATGCGGGGCCGGAGCTAACCGGCGGTGGCTGCGGCAGCGGCTGCGGCGGTGGCGCACCGGGCAGCGGCAGCGGCTGCTGCGGCGGAGCGCCGGGCGCGGCGGAGGCCGGTAGGAGCGGCGGCTGCCAGTGCAGCCAGGGCTGGGCGGTGGTGGCGATGGATGGCAGCTGCAGTGGCCCGGCGAGCGCGGCAAAGGCCGCCTGGTGCGGCGGCTGCCACGACAGCCAGGACGGGGCGATGGATGGCAGCTGCAGCGGCTGCTGCAGCAGCCCGGCGAGCGCGGCGGGGGCCGCTTGGTGCGGCGGCTGCCACGGCAGCCACGGCGGCGCGGTGGCGGTGATGGGCAGCGCAGCCGGGTGCGGCCCATAGGACCCGGCCAAGAACAGGTGGATCTCCTGGACCGCCTGTGTTAGGTCCCGCAGCGCCCCGAACACCTCCGGGGTGAGGACGACAGGGGCGGGCGCGACGGAGGATCCCGGCGCGGGCAGGAGCGGGGCGACGGTCGTGACCGGCAGCGGAAGAGACAGGTTGGGCGGCGGTGAAGACATGATCGAACCGAAGCTAGCTGATACCAAATTATTATGGCGCTGCTAGAAGGAGGGCGCAAGAAGGCCGGCCGGGGGCCTTTTGCCCACGGCCGGGCAAGATGGAAGGATTTCCTTCTTAATTCTTGCTTGATTAGATTGATACATCTCCTCTCTTTATATAGAGAGGTTTACTTGACTCCCAAGCAAGGCTTACTTGACCCCTAAGAAAGCGACTCTTATCTCTAATTAACCCTAAGACTAACGGGCCCATTAGGCCCATTACGTACTTTAACACAGAACCATGACTTGGTTTCGAAATCTTATGGGTTTCATTTCTAGCCTACCCCAACTTGTTCGGGACTGAAAGGCTTTGCTGTTATTGTTGTTGTTCTATATTGACCAACGAGACAGATGATGTAATAGCCATCATTATAAGTATTACTCCCTCCATCCCAAAATAAGTGATCACTTATTTTGGGACGGAGGGAATACTAATTAGTGACACTGACTATCATTTGAAATATGGTGATTCCAACAAAAGCATTGTCTTAAGGGGTCTGTTATAGTTATAGTTATAGTTATAGAAGTTCAAGTTACGTTGTCGCCGAGACCTATGGCAGAAATGAACATAACTTTTAGGGAATTCTTCTCAGAAAGTGGAAGTAGCATTAACACAAGTGATGGCAACTAGCAAAACTAGTAGCCTTCTCCACCAAGCATGCATACAACCTTTTACTTCATGATGATCATAAAGACTTGGACTACATTTGGGCCTCAAGCGTTCCAAACAAGATCAATGTCTTTACTTGGCTCTTATTCTACAAACGGCTAAACTCAAAGGATAACTTGCTCCGTCAACACAAAGCCTCCAACACCGCCTGCCCTAGGTGTGGCCACAAGTCAGAAGGTTGCGCACACATCTTCATCAATTGCCACCTGACTTCTAGGTTGTGGCGGTGCATTAGCATCAATCAAGGTGACGATATCAACCATCTTGGGACTGGCCTACCCAAAGCGATTTGGATGTCTCCATTTGGCCTTCGATTCTTTTAACCTATGGAAGATTTGGGAACCAAGAGCTTCCGTGATATCGACAACAGCTCTACCATGGTTAACATCATCTCCAATTTTACTTTATGAACTCATTGGTTTTGCCTACTCGTGGCGTCTATACCTCAACAACGCAAGATTTTGATCCAAGACGATATTAGATCCACCGTCGGCCACAAGCACATAGCAGCACGCCTATCATTGCCGTTCCACTTCCATGTAGCCAAGGCGCGGGCAACACAATGACATTCTGGACGTGGACATCCAACATGTGATAAAAGAAGTTGGCGGCCACACAAACGAAACGGAACAACTATGAGGACAGCCGTCGAATTTGGTGGCGCTGCCCAACAAGTAGACCATACGGTGGTTGAGGCCATCCTCAGTGTCGAGCAACTGGAGATGATCCGCACCCTAACGGTCAACAGAACAGCCACTGAAGCTTGGGAGGTGATCCATACGATTCACATCGGCAAAAATCGCATCCACAAGTCCATGAAGTCCACTGTGCATAAGTTGGCCGGGAGTGGGAGCTGCTCACTTTCCACAACAGGGAGAGCTGAAAACTTTGCACTCTTCCTCTCCGGCCTCATCAGTTCGCCGACCATTCATGCTGATCACGTCGACAAACAGAGGGCATTGAGAACCTGCTACGCGTCGTTCCCCTGGCAAACTGCATTGCCAATCAAGAGTTTCCTCGATGCCGTTGCTCTCAATTGAAGAGGTGACGAACAGCTCAAGGCTGTTGATGACCATTACTCCCTCCATCCATGTGCATAGAGCGTTTAAGGAGCTGCACCAGACACACTGTGATAGGCTAGCGTTAAGTTTGAGGTTGTGAAAACGAGCCTATCATGTGCCCTCAAAAACACAATTGGAAGAAACATTTAATTGTGCATGCATGAGAATGGGAGGATTAAGATGTGAATGCATGGGAAAGGGAGCCAAGAAGTTAAAGGGGGTTGCATGAGAGAGTCAAACGAGAGGATGCGTAGATTACGAAGGATATTAATTACAACTACGACTAATACTTTTGGAATTCCTGGATTCTCTTAGGTGCCCAATACACTTGGACGAGAGGATGCATGGGAAAGGGAGCCAAGAAGTTAAAGGGGGTTGCATGAGAGAGTCAAACGAGAGGATGCGTAGATTACGAGGGATATTAATTACAATTGCGACTAATACTTTTGGAATTCCTAGATTCTCTTAGGTGCCCAATGCACTTGGACGGATGGAGTACTAGCCGTCACCCGAGTTGGATCAGCCAATCATGTTTAGCGGCAAACTCTACACCTCTACTCAACTAAGGAGCAATGGCTCACCCGGATGCAGGAAAGGCAGGAAGGAGAGGGAACCTCCGGGACTCCCTAAGCCGAGCAGTGGGTGGTGATGCCCCATGGTGTGCAAAAGAAAATAAGCAACATGCCCGCTGCCAAGAGGGCACCTAGGATGACAAGCATGAGAGATGCCACAACTACATCCGCCTTGAGCATTGGGCAAAGGACTGACGCAAATCCAGGTAAGGCATGGGCACACCTCACCCAAGCCCATGAGGACGACGAGGGCATGCAACAGGAAGAGCCACGGGCAAAGGCATTCCTCGGAACTACGGATGATCGAGCATCTGGAGGGGTGGTACCTCGATATAGAGCCAACCAACCACATGACAGGCCACGAGAGGTCTTCTCCAAGCTCGATCACTTTGCGGTCGGCTCCGTCATGTTCAGGGATGGCTTGGTTGTGAGCGTCCAAGGCTGCAGCTCAGCCAAACCCATGTATCACTTTCCCAACTTACCCTTTCATGACTAGACTATAAACACCCCTCCTCCTCCTTCATCCTAGGGTTAGCTAAGACAAGGTTAGACATTAGAGCTTACGTCATGTACCTCCCCATGTGGGATTCCTCCTACATGGAGTTGGTTCCCCTAGTGGAGATCAAGGCCTCCTCTTAAGGAGAAGATTCCTCTTGTGGAATTCAAGCCCTCCTTTGTCCTAGGACATAAGGAAGAAGATCTCCCACCTCATTCTTACCTCTCCCTTGGATTTGTAAGAAACCACGTGAACTGTGTGGTGTGGTCTATGGTCACAAGAGGGTGTTGCCTTGGCATCACTAGTTATCCATGTGTTTCACTTGTGTTTCCCCATGATTTCCTAGTGATTCCCCGCGTATTCTTTGTGTTCTTCCCCAATCTACCTCCATTTCATGAAGATCGGGCCACCCTACGGCTTGCCCCGTATCAACCTCCATTTCGTGAAGATCGGGCCACCCTACGGCTTGCCCGTATCAATACCCAAGTCCGTTGTCTCCAACCATGATGTCAACTTTGTGAGCTATTTTTCGAAGACGTTGTGGGCTAAGCTCGGTGTCAAGCTCCTATTCTCCACCAATGCCACCCACAAACTGATGGTCAAACCGAAGTCATAAACCGCACTCAATCAACCCTACCACGTGTTATGATCAAGAACTTGAAGTCATGGGACGAGTGCATTCCTCAAGTCGAGTTCGCCTACAACTGCTCCACTCCACCCACTCAATGACATGCAAGAGTCCATTTGAGGTGGTGTACATTTCAAACCTCACACCCTGCGACCCCCAACCACTACCACTTCAAGAACGCACAAACTTGGGTGCCACCAAGCGCTCTGAGTACATGAAGCAACTACACGAGGAGAAAGGCCAACATTGAGCAACAAGTTCAACATCAAGCCACCAAGTTCAAAGCCAATCGGCAACCAATGATCTTCCAACCCGGTGACTTCATTTAGGTATATCTTCGGAAGGAGCATTTCAAGAGGAGCGGATGTTCGAGCTCCTGCCAAGAGGATACGGACCATTCCAAGTTTCCAACATATCAACGACAATCCCCTAAAAGAACATATCAACGACAATAAGGTAACTCTTTTCCTTAACGAAGGTCCTTCCAATATTCATGAGAATGAGTTGCTACATCATGGTGGAACTATATGTGACTATGTATGATCAGGCGTGATGGCTTGGATGGCTTGGAGCACAGAGAAGAAGAGATGATGATGAACGAGGAAGGCATGGAGCACGAAGATGGCATCCCAAGGCAAGGTCAAAAACGATGAGAAGGCCTACCCAGAGACTCCAAGCCACCTCCGGAACACCGAAGGCTGCCTCGAAGGAACCCCGAAGTCTTCGGGTTGACCCCCGGTGTCTAGGATTCGTAGCTCTCTGATACCCCGGATTCGCACACTACTAGCCAGCCCAAAGTATGCCCGATGATACATTGGAGATTCCGGAACCCCTGGAGATTCCAACCCAACCTGCCATAGTAAAGTCAGCTTGGGGCCTCGTAACTCTCCCACTTACCTACTCTTTCGCCCCCAACCAACTATATAAGACACCTCTTTAGATCTAGGGTTAGCAAAGCATAAACTAAAAAATTGAGAGAGCTTTGCTCATCTATCCTCCCCTAGTGGAATCAAGACCTCCCTGGTGGAGAAGACTCCGAGGAGTTCAAGACCACCTCCAGGTGAAGGCTTCCATGAAGCACAAGACCTCCATCTCTTAGGATTTGAGACGAACTATCTACTCTTGTTTTACCTGTTTCCTTTGGAGTTGTTGGATCAATTGAACCTCTTTGTGTAGATTTTGGTTATATAATGTGTGTGTTGGCCAGAGGATCTTATGTTCTCCTTGTGATTGCTTGTCATTTCACCTTAGTTCTTGAGTTCTTCGTGTTCTTCCCTACTCCACCTCCAGTTCATGAAGATCAGGCACACTAGCCATAACCCGGTGCATCACTTGTGCCTTCTACTTTATTAGCTAGTATAGTATAAGTCGGCTTAGCCTTTCTTAGTCCGTATGACAGTATGAATGCTGACAGCTAGGTAGTCAATTAGACTTGCCTGTACTGGTAGCTGCTAGAACTGCATTGTTGGTTTAGCAACCAACTTGCCTATGTACTATATATAAACCTCAGCTTCAGAAAATAGCACTGCTGTGTTCAGCCCCAGCTCACTATCTCCTCAAGTCTGTAACATACCTCTCTTTATGTGCCTATGTAACACTCTTTTTGTATTTCAGATCCGCTTTGAGTAGTATATTCAGGTGGGGAAACTCTAGTCTCAATCCCGACCCCACCGGTGATTCCTCAAAAACAAAAAGGTTTGTGGTCCAAATAGAGCACTGCACATGGTGTGAGCTAGTAAGATAAATTTTACAATAGAAGCCTGAATTCTTACACTATAAGTTTAGCTACCCTGATGGGTCAGAATGTTTGAATAACATAGAAGGTTTAACTCACAGAAATAAATAAGGATATCAATAATGATAGAACTGTATATACATCTAGCGAGCAAATATGGAGTTCACATTGGTTAGTTGCACAGTTAGATACCTTGATAACATGTGGTGTACCACGGAAGTTCATGCTACTTGACCTTCTCTGCCCAGGAAAGAAATACATTTTGAGTATGGATCCCTTTCCCAGAACAGAACCATTACGGGCTTTCACGATGGAAGGTTGACATGTTGCTTTATGCTCATCCTGCAGATGGCAAATAGTTTTTAGTAACATCATGTCTCCAAAGTGCCCAAATGAAGCTTTGGAGAGAAGAGAAAGATATTTACAGGTACAGTGAAAAAACGCCCAGGTCGCAGTCTTATGCTCCATTTCATGGTTTGGATCTCCGGACGCTGTTGCAGCCAATTTTTAAATGAGATCTTTGTTTCTCCTTGCCCGCAGAAACCATCAAATGCTTCACTCCCGAGGTATGCCGAGAATGCAATTAATTTCAGGTACCTCTCCAAATATTCAGCACCACGATTTAATGCGACTCTCCTAACTCTTGGCTCCATATTTTGTTGATTAATCACCTTTGTGTATTGCAAAACAGCTTGGCGAATGTTCTGCAAAGCTGAACACTTGTCAATAACAGTATCTAAAATCTGTCTACACTCAATCCCATTGTCAAATAGCCTTGTAATCTTTCGCAACAGAAGGATGTCATTAATGTCAAATCTAGGGTGTAGCTCTGTCAAAGTGTGAGGTTTCCATGATTCTGAATTCAAGTGACCATTGTGGTCCATTGTTTCTTCTCCGCTTGAGTAATCGGCATCAGTTGTGTCTTCATGATTATTTTGGATGGCTGGCATTCCAATAGGTCTGCCGTTATTGATTCGAAGTCTGAGCAGGCAAGCAATCACAGTACCAGTAGTTGTTCTGCCCCTGCCCATCTATAAGACCACAATGTTAAAATTCAAGTTTTTGAAGCCTATGATATGAAGAGCCAATACTTCTCTCAAATAACAAGTATAGAATTCTTTCCCAGCAAAGAGATAAGTTGTAGTACCTGGCAGTTGAATACAAGAGCAGCATCCTTGCAAGCAGCTGCGACATTAAAGGCTACCGTATCAAAATCTGAACTTTTGGGGGCCTTACCATCAGTAATGGGCACTCGTGCATATTTGATTGGAAGGCCTTCAGAGTCCAAACATTTGTATACCTCCAGTGGAGTCAGAACAGCTTCATTATTGACATTTTCCCATGCATCAAAGATCTCACCATTGTCGGTTTCATGAATAACCATTATTGCCCCATCATACCGTTCTGCTTCTCGTAAAATATCCTCCTTCAACCGAGCTTCCATACGCTCAACTCTATCACGACCGATCCCCTGACATCAGTGAATTTTATCTGATTTAGACCACTAAATGTTCCTCACGGAAAGTACAGGATAGCATATCACATATCACATTCAATGAAATGTTTCTATACAAGACTAAGTAGTTTAGGTGTGATTAGAATGCTGAGATACAGTCTGAGTCTTGAGGGACAGGTCAGCCTAGAGAAGGCTACTCAACATATGAGAGCTGATCAACCCAATGTGAACCAAGCCCCACAAGCCACAACAGGTAGTTTATTCGAGTACTGAACATGTTTAGACATTATAATTGACAAGTTCACATTTTAATGGTCTGAATAAATGAGCAGATTTTTTTTCACACAAATAGTATCAGCACAAGGCCTTTGGACACCCGACAGCACCTTCAAGCTCAGTACTTGTACAAAAGCATATGCAGAAATAAAGATAACTTAGTTGTGGATTCAAATTAATCATCATGTTTAGTGCTATAACTTGTGCGCTTAGTGCAAATTACTATTCAGAGAGAGAAAATGAAGTCATGTTGGAGAAGCAATGCATGGAAATTGTCATATGAAGTTATTTTGTTTATACTAACACTACAAATCATAGCATCAACTATCTGCCATAAATCCATAGAGGCAACTGGAAATGGAACATACCGTGTACTCAAGCATATTCTTGTACGGTCTTTCTACTTCTCGTAGCACAAAAGGCTTTCCATGTATATAAATGACGGGCTCTTCTCTCATATTATGCCAGAGTATCGGCCGGTTTCCCTTGCTTGTACTAACTCGCTGAATAACAGCCCGAATGCCATCAACAGTAGGATTTGCAACACCATAGACTGAAAACCCCGGAATTTCCCGGAAATTAGGTGCACCCTCAACTCTTTCAGGCAAATTAAGATTGTGACACCCTGGACAGTGATCACTTTTTAAAACAGTTTGACGTCCAAGAACTTCTCCATTCCTCATGGCAGCAACAACATCCATCTCATGTGGGCGCCCATCAGCAGATTCAATAATTTTTGGAAGAGTAGGTTTTGAGCTCGAATAACCAAGAGCGCCCATTGGATCTCTCCTCAGCAGCCTGAATATATTGAAATATGAAACGACTTACAGGTTATGTCAAATAATGCAACAAGAACCCATAAACAGAAAATTAAACAGTTTTTGCTGGTACTATTATAAATAGTTTTTTTAATATGGTGTTCTCGAGTATTAACTGTGCAACAGAAAGCGTCATTACTAATGTTTTACAGTGAGAGATAAAGTCCACAGATTGGCGGCATGCGAATAGTTTATCATGGCAATATAGACTTGTTTGTTCTTCCTTCTATGTCACATTAGTAATGAGCCATGTGAACAAAACACAAAAGTTGCATTGTGAGCTAGGGCTAACTGCAACGTATGCTCCTATGGAATTCTGAAATGCTCTTAAACTGAAGTGCAAAGATGTTACAGAAGCGGCTACGGGCCCTAAATTATTAATTTATTATCAGTGAGCTGGGGATGATCACTAATGTAACGTTATAATGGATCATATTGATATATGATGTCAGTGTTCAGGATATCGGTAACTGGTACCATACCGGTCGCGTGCTCATTAGAGGTAAATAGGCGAATTTTCCAGTTAATCACTGATAAATTAGTTAATCGGCCGATAAATCAGTTAATCAGCTATCAGTGACCCAACAAGTAGTGACTAACTGACCGAGATGCCGATTAACTAGCCGATATTTGGAACAATTATGATTACAATTTTATGCCAAAAGCTGGAACCTGACCCGTTTAGGTTTTTGCAACAAAACCAACAGTTCATTTTTTTTCTTTCTTTTAGCACAAAACTGGACCACAATTGAATTAGCACATTTCATTTTATTTTAACACTTTGATAAGTAGAATATAACCATCAAGGAATGTGGCGCCAATCATGCATGCAATTGCGGCAGATTGGTGGCGGGCTGGGGTAGGTAATCTACATGGAAACTGGAGAAACGAGTTAACCAAGCAGTTACCGTTAAGTAATTCCAAGCCCTGGTAAGAAACTAAATAGTTCCATTTAATTCTGACAGCAAAGATAATTCTTCAAATATAGGCCATGGACTAAAGACGCACAGAATTTGAACAGCAAATTACAGTTGTGGTAATTATTCAGATACATGTCATGACCTAAAGAATTACTGAGCTGCAAAATACAAATCGCGCCTGTGGTCTGATGGTCACCCTTGTGGATACAAGAATGTCTTACATTATGGGACGGAGGGAGTATATACTAGTTTGTTTTTTCCTCTAACATTCTTGCTATGATTTATGCCTCTAGTTAGATCAATATGGTGTTTGGCCGAAATTAGTGAGTGTTTAAGACATCATATGACTTGGTCAGAACACGGGAGAAGCTGCGAGAATGAGTGGGAAGGTGGGATATAACAAAGCATCTGTAAAATGCCAGAAGAGTGTACAAGATGTTAACCTTCTTACCTGTACCTATTAATTTTGTTATAGTTATACTAGTGATGTCTTTTGACCTTATGCATTCTAGTCTATTGGCACCCTCTTGTTAACTTTTGGCATCCTCGTGTATGTGTATATATGCTGGCTTTGGCCTCTCAATAATATCAGTTGCATATTTCCTAACATGGTATTACAGCTTAGGGTTTCTTTTCCGCACGCGCAACCCGTGCTCTCGATCCAATTTTGCGCCGCCATTGTTTTCTTCACCGGCTGCTGCTACACCTCCCTTCCCTGTTGGACGCCGGTGCTCTCCTCTCCCGGCTAGCCGCTCCTTCTCTCCCTACCAGCTGCTGCTCTTGTCTCGTCAACGCCAGCAGACACAAGTTACCGGTCTGTAGATTCTTCACGGCTTCCCTGCACGTCCAGATCGTGCACCACCCAGCTCGGAGATCGATGGCTCTCGTCGAAGTTTGGCTGCCGGCACTGGTTCTCGCCCAGGCTGCCGTCCACGGTGCTCGGTTCCCCCAAGATCAGCCGGCGGCCGCTGGTTCCACCGCAGGCTTCGTCCAGATCGTGTGCCGCTGAGATCGCCGGCTCTCCAAATTTGGCCACCGGCCACCTGTTACCGCTCAGGCTGTCGTCCGCGGCGCCTGGTTCCCGCCCAAGATCGGCCGCTGGCCGCCGGTTTCCGTGCTCCACCACCGCAGGCTTGCGTGCGTTGACTGCGTCAGGGTTGCGTGATCCATGCAGTGTGTGCGTGCCAGCTAAATTGTTAGATCGGCAGGCGTGCGTGCTATTCTCCAGGCCCGTGCTAGATCGGCTTGCTTAGGTCGCTGGTGGGCCTGCTAGCTTTGGCCTCTCAATAATATCAGCTGCATATTTCCTAACAAATTTCACTTGATGTAAATCACAAACTGGGTTACCAAAATTCAACAAGTTGTAGTTATGTATTTATACAAAATGGCAATGCTGCATAAAACTAATTAAATATAGTAGGATGATGGAGCTGTGTTCAGTTATTAAACTTGAGTGTCTGGCCTTCATTCTTTATTGATGCCAATTAACCGTTGGCATTCATTCTTATAGCAAGACAATAACTTGAGGAAAAAATGCATGTAAACTGACATGGCACTAACTGTTTGATAGGAGACATAGTTACTACATGACTCGACACTCAAGCACCAATGTCTTGAACATGGAGACTGCCTAGTAGAAGTGTCAGCGCGACCTAGCAATCATTCCAAATAAACTACAAAAGAAAACAATTACAAAGAAAAAATGCACTAAAGTAAGCAGATAGCAGTTCTTTGAATATCCACATTCAGCCTACTATTCAATGAAGTGGCACAACAAGGAGGGTAAAAAATTAAGACTTGTCTTGTGTCTCAAAGGAAACAAAGTTTGGGCCAGATACACTCTTACAAGCTATGAACTGTTGGCATTCGTATGCGGAAGTACCATGGCTCACCTTCGAAGAATGCTGTACAGTTCAGGTCTCGCTCTCATCCAATCAGAAAAACTAACTCCTGAAGATGTTGCTTGGTGAGCAGAGCTCACCGAATGTACATAGACAGCAAAACATATGAGGAAGTAATAACGTTCCAAGTACTCCACAAAGAAGGAAAGTGATGCCTCCCGTTTCATCTCATCAGGTTGCCGAAGAGTGCTATTGCGGTAGGTCGCAATAGCTTCTCTCAGGTTCTGTTCACAAGGACAGCAAGCACAAACATGAAACAATAAGGTTGCTTGAATTGAGTTATCAGGACATAAAACGGCATACCTGCATAGAGTCACATTTGTCAATAACTTTGTCCACTTGTCTTTTGCCTTCAACACCACCCTGCATAAATATCAGACACAGAGTCACTACTGAGAGAAACTAAGTTAAAAGGAGAACAGTTTAACATATTCAGATTATTGCCTCCAGAACTCGGACTAAGCTCCTAATGACAGCATATTCTCCTCTGAGAATTGCTTCTTCTGAGCTAGGACTGTAGTCATCTAAATCATTTCCAGCATAGAAAACCTTCCCAATTGAACTTGTCCTTGGGATACCTGCAGCAGAAAGCACCCCACACGTTAAATATCTGAAAATCCAAGTATAGGTGTAAACTATAAGCGCATAATGTGATAACCATACAGTCAGACAAGTACGCACCAGGCAGGCTTTCAGTTGCCATCAGTATATATAATATTATAAATACTAAATAATCTCGTGAAAATTCAAAACACGTGACAATCATATAATTGTGCATGTGGAGCATTATATTTCTTGACCAGTTCTATATAACAAACTGGTAACAACGGTGCACACCTGAAGCTCCTATCCGATTTAGGTAAACCAACGTAGATATGACCATGCCGGTAGTAGTCCGTCCCCTCCCCATTTGACAATTAAATACAATTTCAGTCTCCATATCAACTTGAGAGATTCGATGTACCTGTTAGACACATCAAAGGAAATTTAATTCTATGTAACATACTTTCCAATCTCAGTATTTTTATTATTGCAATAGCTGATTGTCTGCGGAGAATGCAATCCCTGCTAAATGTGTTTCCTACTAACTGTGTCAAAAGAGTTGAAAGTTAAAGCATAAAGAAATAGTGTGACTAGCACACAGATCTCGTGGTAGACAGGCAACCTGGACGAGTGAAGGTTCAATTTTACAGCAAATATAGTGAAGACATAGGGACGAGAAGTTACGTGGAGAACCTAATGGCGGCGTATAAAACTAACCAGGTTATCAAAATCCCCTTCCTTCGGAGCTTTTTCATCAGTTATAGGAACACGCTCGTAATCAACAAGGTATCCTTGGTGTTGTAACTCCTCATAGACCTGCAGATGAATTAAGTTTTCTCAAAAATACCAAGGAGAGGTAAGAGGTATGTTCTAAATCATCAACCATGGAGTTACCTCAAGTGGAGTCTTAACTGTATCAGACATCACTGACTCCCACTGGTCCACCATCTGACCATTCGGCAGCTCATCAGTAACTAGGATCTTATTCCCATATCTGCACCATCAAATATTGCATTATAAAAACCTGCTCGAAGTAAACAGAGAAGTAGTTTATCTTGCTAGTAACGTACCTTGAAGCTTCCTGAAGAATATCTTCTTTCAAACGAAACTCCATCTGCTCGACTCTCTCCCGGTTGATTCCCTATATTATATTAGCAAAAGTCAAGGATTAATATTAGGTATCATGAAAATAAAATGGAAGCTATATGGACATCAACAAGGTATCTTCTATGGGATGGCTCAACTGTATAGCCTACGTGTAACTGGAAATACCCAAATCGACAGGAATCCCTAAGAAGCTATAGTTAACACCTCTGCACCAAAACGTCACAATCTCTTTAAACAAAGCAATAGCATTGGTATAAAGACATTTGTGTCATAACTTCCACTGTGGAAATTTACCAGGACAACTATCTCCAATATAAGACATTAATGAGATTGTAACATAACCAGTAAATTTGGGAAACCATAAATTATCAGAAAATGCACGCAAAATAATTATCAAAGTCAGGTGTCGAAGCAAACCGTATATTCAAGGTTTGAGAAGGGTCTTTCGGCATCTCGTAGAACAAAAGGGCGACCATTGATATAGATAACCTGTGTAATATTAGTGGAAAAACACATATTACTAGATGTGATAACAAAAGACATAACATATGAGTTAGAGCATACATGGTACTCCCTCCGTCCCAAAATAAGTGTCTCAACTTTGTACTGGTACAAAGTTGTACTAAAGTTGAGACACTTATTTTGGGACGGAGGGAGTATAATATAACCTGTTCAAGAGAAACTTCACTGAAATTTCAAATTTAAGCAAAATGCTGCTAAAAGCACAACAAATTTTCAAAAGTACATATTGTTTAGACATGTGTCTCAGATAAACCAAAAAATTGAAGTCAAAGGCCTCTATGGAAAAGATATAGAGACATATGATTAATGGCACATATAGATTTTGTATAGATATTAAACATATAACAGAAAAATAGCTTCTATCATATGTATAGACATTAGATAACATGTTTAATGTTCGTGGAAAGACCTCTTCCCTACCACTCTATTTATTTGCATCGAGTTGCAACTTGATATTCTGGTCAGCTGAGCATCCATTATTTGCTCATTGTAAATTTCCATAGTTTTCAAAGTTATAAGCATTGTGTTTTGCATATTTTGCACAAAGACTCTAATATGATAATTAGCTATCTTACTGGTTCCTCCCGAAGACTATGCCATAGAACTCGGGTTTGCTTTCCCTTCTTTTGTGCCCCAATATGATTTAGCACATTCACAATTCCTTCCATTGTGGGCATTGCAACACCGTGAACACGCAGTGATCCTGCCTGAAAAAATGGTGATAATGAGTATGACATGACACCTTTGTAAAGCATGAAGACCGAGCATATGGAATAAATTTGAAGGATGCTGAAAACCTAGGCATCATGTTGAATTTACAGAATCCCGTCAAAAAGGAAGCTAGATTATTGCAAAACTGAGATGTACATTTACAAATGCATTTTGTACGCAGGCACAGCAGTTAACACCCAAAAGCACAAAAACACTGTTTGAAACTCAAGCCTACATTATGATGAGATACGTACGTGACAAACAGACAGCTAAGAAAGATAACAACGCTAAAAAGCAGGTCCTTTGGGGATTTTTTTTGTTGTCCAAATTGGCACGATTTCCTTGAAAACTCGGGGAATGAGGCCAGGAAATCGTACAATTCAGAGGAGGTTGAGACGTAACCTGCCGGTAATTGGGCGCGCCGTCGATGTGCGGGGTGAGGCGCTTGTTCTGGCAGCCGGGGAAGTGGTCACTCTTGAGGATGGTCTTCTTCCCGAGCACGGAGCCGCCCCTGCTGCTGATGACCTGCTCTCCCACCGCCTGCACGTCGTCCATCTCACCCACCTCCATCCTGTCCTCCACGAATCCTCCTCCTCTGACGGTGCACCGGCTTGTAAGGCACCGACAGGGCAGCGAGGCGCGTGATGCGGATACGGGGTAAGAGGAGGAAGGGAGAACGCGGCGGTGGGAAGAGAAGGACGGGGGCAGAGGAGGCAAGGAGCCAGTAGGCGAGACGAAGACGATGCGATAGGGGGAGGGGGAACGAACAGAAAAGAGGGGAGGTCGGGTGGGAAGGCCGGCAGGCTCTCCAGCCGCGCCCCCGCCGGGCCCCAGGGCGCCTTTTTACGCGCCGGCATGGAAAAAAATCCTCAAGACGTCGAAATTCGCCGGCTCGGTCTATTTTTGGGCCCGGCAATCGCAGACCGAACCCAACGTCCTGGGGCACTCGGGGGCTCCGATGTAAGGGGGAAACACGCCTGGACCACCCCTGGCGAAAAGTTAAGCCAATTGTCCAGATTCGCCCCTCACCCCCCGCGCGCTCGGCCACTACCCTGCCAATCTCGGCGCCGCCCACTGCCCAGCACCCATTCCCCGTCGGAAAAAAGAAAAGGTTTCGCCGCGACAGCCTCTTCACCATCGTCCGGGCGAGTTTCCGGCGCTCCGGACGTGCGGGGCGGTATACCGGCGGGTGTGCGCCCACCAAGCCTGACAGGTGTTCGGCGTTTTGTCTGCTCGGGATGGACTCTGACGACGAGGAGGCGCTCGCGGCGCTGCTGCAGGAGGGAGCCGATTCCGACGACCAGGACGAGGAACACCTTGTTGGGGAACGTAGCATACAATTTCAAAAAAAAATCCTACGATCACGCAAGATCTATCTAGAAGATGCATAGCAACGAGATGGGGAGAGTGTGTCTACGTACTCTCGTAGACCGAAAGCGGAAGCATTATGTTAACGCGGTTGGTGTAGTCGAATGTCTTCGCGATCCAACCGATCCAAGTACGAACGTACGACACCTCTGTGTTCTGCACACGTTTAGCTCGATGACGTCCCTCGAGCTCTTGATCCAGTAGAGGATCGAGGGACAGTTCCGACAGCACGACGGCATGATGACAGTGATGGTGATGTGATCCGCGCAGGGCTTCGCCTAAGCACTACAACAATATGACCGGAGGAGTAAACTGTGCAGGGGGGCACCGCACATGGCTAAGAGATTTCTTGGTGTGCCTTTGGGGTGCCCCTGGCCACGTATATAAAGGAGGGGGAGAGGTCGGCGGCCAGGAGGGGCGCGCCATGGGGGAGTCTTATTTGGACTCCTAGTCCATGTAGGATTCAGACCCCAATTTTCCTTTCTTCCACCAAAGGGAATAGGAAGGAGAGGGAGAGGGAAAGGGAAAGGGGGGCGTCTCCCCCGCCCCCTAGTTCAATTCGGACTGCCATGGGGGGGCAACTCCTTGCAGCTCTTCTTTCTTATCCACTAAAGTCCAGTAAGGCCCATTATTCCCCTAGGGGGTTCCGATAACCCCTCGGTACTCTGGAAAAATATCCGAATTGCTCGAAACCATTCCGATGTCCAAATATAACATTCCAATATATGAATCTTTACCTCTCGATCATTTCGAGAATCCGCGTCATGTCCGTGATCTCATCCGGGACTCCAAAAAAACTTCGGTCACCAAAACACATAACTCATAATATAAATCGTCATCGAATGTTAAGCGTGCGGACCCTACGGGTTCGAGAACTATGTAAACATGACTGAGACACATCTCCGGTCAATAACCAATAGTGGAACCAGGATGCTCATATTGGCTCATACATATTCTGCGAAGATCTTTATCGGTCAAACCACATAACAACATATGTCATTTCCTTTGTCATCGGTATGTTACTTGCCCGAGATTCGATCGCCGGTATCTTCATACTTAGTTCAATCTCGTTACCAGCAAGTCTCTTTACTCGTTCCGCAATGCATCATCTCGCAACTAACTTATTGGTCACATTGCTTGCAAGACTTATAGTGATGTGCGTTACCGAGAGGACCCAGAGATACCTCTCCGATACACGGAGTGACAAATCCTAATCTTGATCTATGTCAACTCAACAAACACCTTCGAAGACATCTGTAGAGCATCTTTATAATCACCCAGTTACATTGTGATGTTTGATAGCACACAAGGTGTTCCTCCGGTATTCGGGAGTTGCATAATCTCATAGTCAGAAGAATATGTATAAGTCATGAAGAAAGCAATAGCAATAAAACTAAATGATCATTATGCTAAGCTAACGGGTGGGTCTAGTCCATCACATCATTCTCTAATGATGTGATCATGTTCATAAAATGACAACACATGTCTATGGTCAGGAAACTTAACCATCTTTGATTAACGAGCTAGTCAAGTAGAGGCATACTATGAACACTCTGTTTGTCTATGTATTCACACATGTACTAAGTTTTCGGTTAATACAATTCTAGCATGAATAATAAACATTTATCATGATAGAATGAAATATAAATAACAACTTTATTATTGCTTCTAGGCATATTTCCTTCAGTCTCCCACTTGCACTAGAGTCAATAATCTAGATTACATAGTAATGATTCTAACACCCATAGAGTCTTGATGTTGATCATGTGTTTGCTCGTGAGTGAGGCTTAGTCAACGAGTCTGCAACATTCAGATCCGTATGAATCTTGCAAATCTCTATGTCTCCCTCCTTGACTTGATCGCGGATGGAATTGAAGCGTCTCTTGATGTGTTTGGTTCTCTTATGAAATCTGGATTCCTTTGCCAAGGCAATTGCTCTAGTACTGTCACAAAAGATTTTCATTGGACCCAATGCACTAGGTATTACACCTAGATCAGATATGAACTCCTTCAACCAGACTCCTTCATAGTTGCTTCCGAAGCAGCTATGTACTCCGCTTCACACGTAGATCCAGCCACGATGCTCTGCTTGGAACTGCACCAACTGACAGCTCCACCATTCAATATAAATATGTATTCGGTTTGTGACTTAGAGTCATCCGGATCAGTGTCGAAGCTTGCATCGACGTAACCATTTACAACAAGCTCTTTGTCACCTCCATAAACGAGAAACATATCCTTAGTCCTTTTCGGGTATTTCAGGATGTTCTTGACCGATGTCCAGTGATCCACTCATGGATTACTTTGGTACCTCCCTGCTAAACTTATAGCAAGGCACACATCAGGTCTAGCATGCAACATTGCATACATGATAGAATCTATGGCTGAGGCATATGGAATGACTTTCATTTTTCTTTATCTTCTGCAGTAGTCGGGCATTGAGTCTGACTCAACTTCACACCTTGTAACATAGACAAGAACTCTTTCTTTGACTGATCCATTTTGAATTCCTTCAAAACTTTATCAAGGTGTGTGCTTCTTGAAAGTCCAATTAAGCGTCTTGATCTATCTCTATAGATCTTGATGCCTAATATGTAAGCAGCTTCACCGAGGTCTTTCATTGAAAAATTCTTATTCAAGTATCCTTTTATGCTATCCAGAAATTCTGTATTATTTCCAATCAACAATATGTCATCCACATATAATATTAGAAATGCTACAGAGCTCCCACTCACTTTTTTGTAAATACAGGCTTCTCCAAAAGTCTGTATAAAACCATATGCTTTGATCACACTATCAAAGCGTATATTCCAACTCCGAGAGGCTTGCACCAGTCCATAAATGGATCGCCAAAGCTTGCACACTTTGTTAGCACCTTTAGGATCGACAAAACCTTCTGATTGCATCATATACAACTCTTTTTTAAGATATCCATTAAGGAATGCAATTTTGACATCCATTTGCCAAATTTCATAATCATAAAATGCGGCAATTGCTAACTGATACGTCTCCGTCGTATCTATAATTTTTGATTGTTCCATGCCAATATTATACAACTTTCATATACTTTTGGCAACTTTTTATACTATTTTTGGGACTAACATATTGATCCAGTGCCCAGTGCCAGTTCCTGTTTGTTGCATGTTTTTCGTTTTGCGGAAAATCCATATCAAATAGAGTCCAAACGAGATAAAATATGACGGAGATTTTTTTGGAATATATGTGTATTCTGGGAAGTGAAATCAACACGAGACGATGCTCGAGGGGCCCACGAGGCAGGGGGCGCGCCCCTGACCCTCGTGGACAACCCGTAAGGCGGTTGTTGCCCTTCTTTCGCCGCAAGAAAGCTAATATCCAGATAAAAATCTTGTTCAAATTTCAATCCAATCGGAGTTACGGATCTCCGGGAATATAAGAAATGGTGAAAGGACAGATCTTGGAATGCAGAAACAGAGAGAGACAGATCCAATCTCGGAGGGGCTCTCGCGCCTCCACCGCCCTGGAGGCCATGGACCAGAGGGGAAACCCTTCTCCCATCTAGGGAGAAGGTCAAGGAAGCAGAAGAAGAAGAAGAAGAAGAAGAAGGGGGGGGGGCTCTCTCCCCCTCTCTCCCGGTGGCGCCGAAACGCCGCCGGGGCCATCATCATCACCGCAATCTACACCAACACCTCTGTCATCTTCACCAACATCTCCATCACCTTCCCCCATCTATCTACAGCGGTCCACTCTCCTGCGACCCGCTATACCCTCTACTTGAACATGGTGCTTTATGCTCCATATTATTATCCAATGATGTGTTGCCTTCCTATGATTTCTGAGTAGATTTTTGTTGTCCTATCGGTAATTGGTGAATTGCTATGATTGGTTTAATTTGCTTGTGGTTATGTTGTTGTCCTTTGATGCCCATCATATGAGCGCGCGTGTGGATCACACCATAGGGTTAGTTGTATGTTGATAGGACTATGTATTGGAGGGCAAGAGTGAAAGAAGCTTCAACATAGCATAGAAATTGCATACGGGGTTGAAGGGGGACCAATGTATCTTAATGCTATGGTTGACTTTTACCTTAATGAACGTTAGTAGTTGCGGATGCTTGCTAATAGTTCCAATCATAAGTGCATAAAATTCCAATTCAGGGATGACATGCTAGCAGTGGCCTCTCCCACATAAAACTTGCTATCGGTCTAGTAAAGTAGTCAATT